AGAATTGTGTTCTAGGTGTCTTCTAAACTCATTTTAATATACTTGAAAAATAGAGATTTGCAAAAAACACTTCTTAAAACCTAGAAAGAAAGACATTTTGAAAAGAAAAGAAACCCGAACAAAATATATGCTATTATATTTACAGAGCTATAAACTACAAGTAAGCAATATTTATAATATCAAACCTATGCTTTAAAATTCATGATGAAAAAAAAAGTCCTTTCTTCGATGCGATTTGTTTTACCAAAGTGAAAAGTCAACAATGAGCCTTAGGAAAAACTTACGCAGAAATTCTAAGAGTCAAGATTTTGATTTTTCTTGGTGTCAGGAGGGTTAATTTTTCTAAAGATTTAAGATTCAGCATTTGTAAATCATAAGTAATACGAAATTGATTCATTTGAGAAATCATGCAGAAAATGAAGGAACTTTGGAAACAGGTCACGTTTTTAGTATGCACGCTTGTTTTGGTGCATCAGAGCAAATATAAACCGGGAAGAAAGTACTTCAATGTTATTACTAGAGTAATACTACTTAATAATTGAAACACAAGCCATACATTCTGCGTTTCATCCCCTACTCTACTGGTAGACATATGTCGATGACACTTTTGCTGGTTTCTCTTCTACAGAACACACACTTTGAACACATAAATTCCATTCATCCAAACATCAAATTTACCAGAGAACACGAAAACAATAAACAGTTATCTTTTCTTAACCTCAACATTATTAGCTCGGAGACACAGTTTAAAACCAGAATTTACCGTAAGAACAGACACACCGGCCTCTACATCCCCTGGAATTCCACTCATGATACCACACAAAAAATCAATACACTCAAAAACCTCATAAACACAGTCACAAGACTCTGTTCAACGGACTACTTAAATGAAGAAATCAACAACATAAAGCATTCCTTCACTCACACCAATAAATTTCCACCAGCTATTGTTGAAAAACACTCCAACATTCACCACAACAAAACTCAACTTACGAACAAAATTGATACTGACAAACCCAACAACAGAACATTACACTGCACTTTACCTTTTGTCCATGAAACCAGCTCAAGAATTATCCACA